CTGTTGTCCCACAATACTGTATTTTCTCGCGCTCTTTTTCTAAAGGGGTCGTGGATTCTGCAATCAAATGTTAAATATTAAATGCTGGGTTGATTATTAGATTTAACAAAACTATGAACGCTTTTTGAAAGTAAAATTTAGCTAGTGGACTTGGCTTTCAATAAGAACACTTTTTTCTGATTTTTTAGTTTTTTTTTTTTCAAGGAAATTGGGGTGCTAAAAATCTCGTTCACTTCAGGATGGCAAAGCTAAAATCGGATGTTCGCGTTCGTATAGCTGCTCTGGAGCATGCGATGGCCGATTTTGGACCGTCCAGTCAACATTTCCTGATGAACAGTGTTCAGGCTCCTTGGCAACGAGCCATCTCGTCCAGCAATCACCTACCATATTACATCAAGTAAATTCGTTCTTTAATGCATTTTACATAAAAGCATGTTATGGAGATATGACGCGTAGGACCAGAAGACTGGGACTTCATGCGCTTAAGGCACGCTGATTCATTCCAGTAATATCACTAACATGAGTTACCTATAGTGATTGTCCGGGCGGCCTTTTTGCATGCTTGGCATTCATACGTAGTCTATGTTTAAAAAATTTTGTTAACCTATTATTTTTATCGATCCACAAGCAGTATTCTTACTACAGGTCCACACCATGTTCATAATGTAACCTGAGAAGCATCAGTGAGATGGAAAGTTCACTAAAAAGCACATATGGAATTATCTGAGTATGCTTCAAAGTCAAAATAAAGAAGAATGGAGAAGTTGCCAGCTGCAACAATGGTTAAGAAGAAATGCGGCGATGTTATAATTGATAATCATAGTAACAAAGTAAAATACATATGATACATATGGTTTTTAAGCCACGAAACAGAAGTAACCCAATGGGATCATCCGGCAATGGTGGAAATCATGGAGGAATTGTCAACATTCAATCAAGTTAAATTTAGCGCCTACCGGACAGCAATGAAACTGCGTGCCATCCAGAAACGCTTGTGCCGTATGTTCAAGTTTCAGTTGGCTCAAAGATTGCAAAATTTTTTTAAATAAATTTCGATAACTTAGCTTTGTTATTGTTCACGCATACATTATTCGATGTCTTGCTTGCTCCCGGTTTCTCATCTATGACTTCGTTTAAAACCTTACCTGCAAGGCAGATTTGTTTTGCTTTCTACCTTCGACCTGTAATTCATCTGTTAGCTTAATTCATTTCAAAATTTTATCTCCATTTTAAGTGAACGAGTTGAAAAATTTTTCAAGTTTTTGGTGCTATATCAGCTGTAATTCCTGGGCTGGTTTTTTCAGTTTTCCAGCCTTTAACCAATGCTACGTATTTGGTGGTCAGCCTACTAGTGATCCTGACGTTCGTTTTGTTTTCTGAAAGGCTTACTGTTTCATTTTCCTAAAACATTTGACAATGCTGTAGCGGTTTCAGAATCTCTTCTGTGTATGGTGAGCATCACCACCTGGCCTTATACATAGGCTATGAGGTATGCGTTGACTGTATCTTCAGATACCTTACCAAGTATGAAGTATCTCATTGCACTCTATAGTGGTACCTTAACCCCCCCCCCCTAAATATCTTTTTTGTTTTTTTTAAGAATCCTTAAAAATTACGAATCAGTTTTCCTGACTTGCAGTGGATCTGCTAACTCTGGAAGATGTGAATAGCAAGCTGCAGACGCTCAACGCTGTATGGGGTGAGCAATGCCTATCAATGAAAGATGCTGTGATGTGTTTGGTACCATTATTTGAAGCAGCCCAGGAGAAATATCCAAAACTGATCCATTCCATACCGCTGGCCGTTGATCTACTGCTCAATTTTGTTTTAAATGTATTTGATCCGTGAGTTATTTTATCCGTTTCGAATTTTAATTTTTGCTTTTCTTCTTTTAATTTTGAGGTGAGGCACATACGTTGACCAGGCAGGCAGTGGCTGCTAGCTCGGGTTAGACAGCTCACCGTGGTTGCAGCTGGCTTGTATGAACATTTCAGTAATATTACTAGTATGGAGTACCTGTTAAAGGATACCCGGGTAGTCTTAGATAAAACTGAACCTTTACTAAAATATTTTGAAAATATCAATCCGATGGAAAACGCTCGTTTAGTACAAGTTAAATTGAATTCGAACTGAAGTCCAGAACTCTTCCGTATTTTATTGTCTTTGAAAGGTGAAGACATCCAGAAGTAATGTGAGTGATGGCACTTTACTAGTAGCAGCCAACCTATTACTGACCATTGATTGGCCCATGTTCCAGGTTGTAATAAGAGCAGTAAGAAGCAAGTTAAAAATGAGTCAATTTCTTGATGTACTAGCGTTATCTCTCTTGGTCGTTCAAAGGAACAAATAGGCGAGTTTGGGGAGGGACTGATTTTTCCACTTGTAGATTTGGACTGTAGAATTCATCATTTTTTGCTGTAGCATCGGCTTGCTAGGCTAAATTGACTAATTTTAATCCCGGATAAATTTTTTTTTATCTGTTTACAACTTTTGCTTGAAAATTTTAAGAGCCCGTGATGGTATTTTGCGAACATTTTCTTTCCGTGTTCTTCTTGCTGCACTGTGCAATTCGGAATTGGAAGATAAATACCGATGTAAGTGCTACACATTTTTGTAACGATGTTATATTGTTATTTAATACTATTTTTATTTTACACCATTATTTTTCCATTTTTCGGTACGCTTGTGAGTAGCGATCATACTCACTTTGATACTTGAAATAGTTACAGTTCATAGCGTGCTTCTCCAACTATGCAGTAGAAAATTTTCCGTTTTCTTTGACAAATGCTGCAGTGCTTGGTGACAGCCTGCCGTTGGCGATCTTGACATTCGTTTTGTCTTTCAAACGGGGTGCCAGTTCAACAAAGTTTATAGTATTTTATTGCTATGTAATATTTTTTTTTTCAGATATGTATCAACTTATCGCAAACAATGAAGGTGTTGATCAGAAGAAACTTGCTCTGCTCATATATGACATCATACATGTAAGCCATTTCTCAAAGACTTTTGATCGCCTTCGCCTCATACCAAAAAGTGCCTGGGTCATCTGCGCAGTATCAGTGTATGTATCCCATGTTAGTGATGTTACTGGTATGTTTAATAGTTCCGACTTTTAGCAAAACTCTATAATTCTTGAGAGGGTTTTAACAAAAATCCTGGTATCTATTGACATAATGAGTAGGTAAGCAGCCACATTCCGCCTCTTTGATTTACTTCCTACGACAGACGGGGCAGTCGTAAGTGGCTGAAGCGGCAGTATGTTGACAACAGTAGTAACCGAGGTTTTACTCCCAAGCATAGTGTGCACGCAGCAGTCTTGTTACCATTCGAACGAGAACTGGTTCCTTTATTGATGAACTGGACTAGTGACTGAAAGCTGGAGCTGTGTACCAATAGATTCGCTGATCAAGAAAGAGTCAAGAAGTTTTTTTTTTTTTTCTCACGAATTTTCAGATTCCAAAATTTTTCGGTGAGGCAGCAGCATTCGGTGGTTCGAACGTTGAGCCCTCCGTGAGATCTTGCTTTGAATCCGCGAAATATCCGCGGACAATTTTGATTGATGAATTCTTGAACTGGTTAAAAAAGGAGCCGCAAAGTATCGTTTGGCTACCTGTAATGCATCGTCTTGGAAGTGCCGAATTTGCCAAACATCAGGTGACAATTGCTTTTTCATATTTCCTTCCTGCTCACTATCTTATCTAAGAGCAACTTCCTCCCTCTACCTCATTGTTCCTGTCAGCAGTAACTTGTGAAGAGAACAGTGGCAAACCAATTTCCCCTCTCCACCCCAGTACCTTCCTCAACAATAACTTGAACAAAGAGCGGTGACAGCCGAATTTTGAACTGCTTTGGCTCATTTTATTCAACTTTTTCGGTTTTTTTTTGAATA